AGGACGAGGAGGTGAGGGGGGAGGGGGGGGGGAGGCGGGACAATGGTGCAGGACACTGCTGTCCAGGGGAACAGGGAATGTGGTTGGGTTGCGTGTGTCTTGTTACCGCCAGCCGTCCCCCTAGTGGTTGTTGTGTTTATGTTATTCAGTTTTAATAAGTTTTTAAACAATATTTTCCTCTTATAAAAACATTCAATTTTTCTCCCATATTAACAGTAATCAATTTTCTGGCTCACATAGACGATCTGCTGTAATACTTGGAGGCTAAAGAGGATTTATGATTATTAAAACATCTAACAAGAACCCGGATCACAGTTTTTTTCTCCCTGCAAAGCTTAAAAAATAAAAAATCTATATAAGTAAACAAACAAACTCCCGGGGGCGGTCATCAGGTGCTCCCAGGGATATTACAGCACCGGGTATTTCTTTAACAATTGTTCATCATCTAGGTAGACGGCCAAAAAGAATGCGTTTTAAAACTTATCACTATATATAAAAGGGTTGCTGAGGCAATCGCCGGACAGACTTACAAACAAACACAAACGTTACAACACACGCGACCGATCACAAAAGAGCGGCGGGGTACTGGCAGGGCTGAAAATCCATAGCCAGACGACCCTCCCGAACAAAACTTTCTAGCGGACGACTCGCTCCTAACAACTCCCCAGTGGACGACTACTACCCACATAACTACCGCACCAAATCTTACAAAAGGTCACACCACAACAACAAATGTCTTTAGTAAAAACATGGAGAAAAGTCTTAAAACGGATGTGGAGTGCATACGGTACTCACATTAACAGATGCATTAAGCTGAGTGTCAGGGTGAGGAGTGCGGTCAGGGGGGTAGAATATACAACAGGTTTAGGCTTAAATTCACACACAAAATATCACATACAGTAAAAGTATTATAATGATGTGACTCCGTAAACAAGATACAACTGTTCCCTTCAGTCATCTAGATCACTGGAGGATCCATAACGTATATACTGGTCAGCTTAAGACCGTCTCTAATGCCAACAACACATTACATTTACTGACCACAGGACACTTACACTTACTTCTTTACATAATCAGATTCCAAAGGGACATCCCAAAGTAACTACGCCTGTAAGCAAATCCCACAAATACAGAGTAAGATATTTTAACTCCATTACTTTTTTACGACTGGATTCAATTTTCCACCTATTACAGCAACAACTTTCTTTGACCTGGACTTGTGGTCACTTAATCATTCAGGGACAACAGCTGTATAAGGGTTATATGACATCGAGTGCACTGTCCAGGAAGAGGCAAAGTGTAGTATATCATCCACAGCAAGAGAGACTATTCGTACAATCATGTCACTTACGCATTGGTGAAGTATAGCGTATATGTGAGTGATCTTATACCGTGTCTCAACAAACCGGTAGCAGATAATTCTTTAAAATATCCCTTCAGGAACTTCAGGTGTGTCTTATAGAAGAGTGACAGTGTGCAGGTAAGTAGTACAACTATTAACTCATAACGTAACACTCAACGCATATTTTTCGTTGCTTCAGTCATGAGGTAATCCGAACACTCCGTGATCAGCGGTCCGGGGAGGTTACACAGTAGTTCTCCGGAAACATGTCTAGACTGCTGCACCGCCCACGCCCACCGGGGAAATGGAAAGGTGTACCTAGATTTTTAAAGAAGCATAGATCACCACAGCTTACGTAAGTTGTCGTGTGGTCGTGTATTGGGATGTTTACAGCCAAAAAATTTACGTAAAGTAAGCAAAAAAGAAAGTATATAAGAATATATGAATATTTATACGCGCGCGCGCGCGCGCGCGTGCGTGTGTGTGTGTGTGTGTGTGTGTGTGTGTGTGTGTGTGTGTGATATATACTGTAATATATACAGTATATCTTAAATATTTCGCCCGTTCGTCCACACCATACAACCCAAAAATAAATAGCTACAGGTCTGTAAAATAAAGAATACTGTAGAATAAAATACATTTAATAATAATGATGTTCTTTATAATAGCAATACTAATAATTAATATAAATTAAATTTACAATAATGATATTAATAAAATAAATAACAAAAACAATACAACAAAAACAATAATAATTATTTTCACAATGAATTAATAATAATAATAATAATAATAATAATAATAATAATATTAATGATGATGATGATGATGATGATAATAATAATAATAATAATAATAATAATAATAATAATAATAATAATAATAATAATAATAATAATAATAATAATAATAATAATAATAATAATAATAAGAAGAAGAAGAAGAAGAAGAAGAAGAAGAAGAAGTATACGGGACATGATTCCTTTAATCCACACATTAACGTTTTTATTATTTTCCGTCATTAAGCAAAAATATTTCGAAGACTGCTGTCTATGTACAGTATCATACGGCCATCCTGTTTCACTCAAGCTTTGATGTTCAACCTCTTAGCAGGACCGAGTGGGTGAGTAGGCGACTGAGTGAGTGAATGAATAAATGACCGAGTCTATATAACAATTCAACGTCGTGACATCTACACAGCAATATCGGCGGGATATGAACTCACCTCTTTGTCACCACCACTGGTTCCTGCGAGGACGAGGCACTGTAACTCCTCGACGATACAGGTTTGTAATGCCCCGTTATGCAGAACACTAACCCAATGAATTAAGCCGTTCCCATCATCATCGAGAGTAACACCGTCGGTCGGCTAGTACCTTGTTTTAGGCCAAAAATGAAGACTAAAATAATGTGTGTGTGTGTGTGTTTCTGGTACGCGAGTGAGATATGATAGTAGGTTTTTATCACCTTTAAATATACTAAGTACCTTTAGCTCGATGTAATGAAATGTTATCGTGCTAAGCCTGTTTTACTAAGGATAGTTTGTGTACTGTTTCTGTTTCTCCACTATCATAGTCTTATAGTATAAACATGTGTACATATAATTATTCGCTTACCTTAATTCATTGACTGTTATTCCAGGTTTATTCTGTCGGGGGTTTTACTCTACAGAGTTTTATCTCTCATTTTTTTTTTTAATGTTAATGGAATAGTGGAATTCTAAACTTGTTACGCGCTTAAAGACCTTAGGTGTTGAAGCGCAGTAATAAAATTTTAACAACAATCCTGTCGATCATAATTATCAAGCCATTAAAAAGAGAAGGTCCCCCACATATACTGTACGCATCTTTCCCTCATCCACACTCAGTATCTAGGAACTCAGCGGTACAAGACACTGCATTTTACACTTACTTATCGAGGTAAGTGACAAGCGAGAGAGAAAAGAGGTTTATGGCAATCAGCTGCGGTCAAACACTGTTATCAGAGAGATATTAATCCCAGACGACTGCAGTTAATGTCGGGGGAGAACTGACTACTCAGGTCATTTTACGTTATTTGCTGTAACAAGGAGATCTCCAATGGGCAGCAGGGCAGTATCAGCGATCATCTCACTGTTCAAGTCGCTTCAGGTGAGGCGTAGTTACTCTCTAGTAACAGCCATCCTTTGCCAATATCTACTCACTTCACATTACATTAAACATTGCGTCCGTGGAACCCAGTAAACTGTCTAATTTGAAATTAGTTAAAAAAAAGGCAAAAAAAAAACTTTACCCAAATTTACCTGGTATACACCTCACTGATGACTGAGCCAGTGACTTATTACAAAATCAATGCTGGACAGCTGACAGTGAAAAGCAAAGTATGGTATGTGTGCCGTTATGAAACTGGACAGAGGCTGACACATCACAGCTGGACGAGACAATACACCTGACGTTGTCTCAGGCAGTCACGAGACGGTCAAATTAGTGAAAGATTCTCTCTCTTTCTCTACCATTATCACTGTATAACATAATTATAAAGAACAATTTTAATGACCAGTTATAAGGAACTTTTAAGTGAAATGTTTACCCTATGTAAAAGTACAGACGTTGAATATTACAACACTCGTGTGATATAAACAACCTTTAGAACACTTTAAATATGCTGTTTTATATGAACTTGGCCGAGAAACTTTAACTACATACAACTTTGGTGGGTTTTGATCAGTGTTTTCCTGTACCTGCACTCTCGTTACGATCATTTTAAAACTTTAATGTAAAGTATATATAGATTTTGTTTTTCCTTCATATGACCTAAACTGATCTACCATTTTACAAGAGAATGTTATTGCTATTGATGAAAAATAGTAAGATCGTATCAACACGCACAAGCCTTACGAGTGCAACACATAAGCTACACCACAAAATAAATGAAAAGCAGTGCATCAACAGTAAATGGTTTAAACAAATAAACTGTATATGAGTGACCGAAGTTATTTCCCTTCCTGGTAGATACTACAACTAGCTATTTTGTATAAATGACTGATTTAGAATATCTTTGACTGACAGACGTTTTTTAATTCACTCGCATCAATCACTCTGAGATATTAGTTCAACTAAATTTCCCCTGCGATTTTGTCTGGCGAGTGTCGGATATACCTGTGTGTGTGTGTGTGTGTGTGTGTGTGTGTGTGTGTGTGTGTGTGTGTGTAAAAGACTAAACATTTCAAGGTTATAGTAACATTTGTGTAGTTCTTAAAACGAGGGAACTATATAATCGTGACACAGACACATCAACACGACCACTAACAGCCTCGGGCGGCATCACTCTCCCTCCTACACTTCAGAGTTATCCACAACACAACACACCTGGAAATACCAGCTAGAAATTTAGCCACTTCCGTTCACCAGAGATCACCCCACCCGCCCGGGAACTCCACTTCACCCGCTGTTAACTCCACTTCACCCACTGTTAACTCCACTTCACCCACTGCTAACTCCACTTCACCCACTGTTAACTCCACTTCACCCACTGTTAACTCCACTTCACCCACTGCTAACTCCACTTCACCCGCTGTTAACTCTAATTCATCCGCTGTTAACTCCACTTCACCTGCAGCTAACACCACTTCACCCACTGCTAACTCCACTTCACCCGCAGTTAACTCCACTTCACCCTGCTAACTTTCACCCGCTGTTAACTCCAACTTCCCCGCTGTTAACTCCACTTCACCCACTGTTAACTCCACTTCACCCGCTGTTAACTCCACTTCACCCACTGCTAACTCCACTTCACCTACAGCTAACACCACTTCACCCGTGGTTATCTCCACTTCACCCACAGCTAACTCCACTTCACCCACAGCTAACTCCACTTCACCCACAGCTAACTCCACTTCACCCACAGTTAACCCCACTTCACCCACAGCTAACCCCACTTCACTCACAGCTAACCCCACTTCACCCACAGCTAACTCCACTTCACTCACAGCTGACCCCACTTCACTCACAGCTAACCCCACTTCACCCGCTGCTAAATCGTTTGACTGCCGCTAGGACTATATCCTATCTTCTTTCTGTAACAGTTGTTCATCTAACCATCACCCAGTGCACCCATTGGTAAAGTCCAATTCACCCATCGGTAAATTCATCACCCATCGGTAAAGTCATCATCCACCGGTAAAGTCCAGGTCCTTTAGAGTTAACTCTAATTCATCCGTCGGTAATTGAAGTCACCCGCCCGTAATTCCAGTTCACCCGCTGGTAGTTCCAGTCTGTATGACTGTGACTGTATCAATTCACATTCCGTTAAGTCCGTAAACACATAGTTAACCCCAATTTATCACCAGGTACTTGAAGCTAACACCAGTTTAGCTTTAAGTACTCAATGGGTTAACGTCAAATAGACACAGTTAAACTCCAGGTACTCAAAATTAACCACAGTTTACCTTCAGATACTCACAGTTAATCACAGTTTAGCTTCAGGTATTCATAATTAACCACAGTTTAGCTTCAGAAACCCACAATTCATCTTAGGTACTAATAGTTATTCACAGTTTAGCTTCAGGTACTCACAGTTATTCACAGTTTAGCTTCAGGTACTCACAGTTAATCACAGTTTAGCTTCAGGTACTCACAGTTAGTCACAGTTTAGCTTTAGGTACTCAGAATAACCACAGTTTAGCTTCAGGTACTCATAATTAACCACAGTATACCTTCAGGTACTTACAGTTTGTACCCCTCTTTCCCGGTAATTAATTACATATCCTCCCCCGGTAATTGCACTTTACTTTCTGGGATCTCAAACTCACCTACCGTTAATACCAGTTCATTTCTTAGTTTCTCAAGATGCACTCCGGCAACTCGGGTGTACCACCGGGAACGTGAATTCACACCTGTTAACCCCAGTTCATCCACGGTTAGGCCAATATACGCTCGCTTCTTCCTAGTTCACTTCCCCGGCAACTTCAATTCATCCCAAACTTAATGGCAACTAATATTTATCTATGGTATTTCCTGTTTACTCCCAGTACCTTCTGGCAACACCAAATAACACAAAGTTACTCACTCTTGACGCTTGGTAACTCTCAAGTCTATACACGATAACTCGAGGCTACATCCGCCAATCACTAAACCGACCTTTAGTGAAGAAAAGAATTATAAACACATTTCTTTCAATAAGCACTGGAATAAATAAGTAACTCCCTTAATGTTTGTGTCAGCAAGAATTCCTCTGATCTCTCCGGTGAAAAACAAACAAACAAACAAACAAACAAAAAGTAAATACGAGTTACATAGCTGTTATATGTTTTCTCTGGGGCGTATCGGATTTTTTTTTTTGCCGTTATGCATGTTGTACCCGCCCAAGGAAAGTCTCCCTCCTCCTGCCCTTTATCTCCGAGTGTGACCTTGGAGTGGAGTAGTAACTTACCTTTATGCATGCCGGTAAGCTTGTCCTTGAGCACGGTAAACTCGTAGATCTTGCCGAACTCGTCAAAGAGTGGGCGCAGATCTTTCTCTTCCATGTGCCTGGGGATCTGACCGATAAAGAGTTTGATGGCGTCATGTTCTTTATGTGGCGGTGAGGCGGCATGGTGCTGGTGGCCAGGATGACTGAGGGAGGCCACCAACTGCTGGTGGTGGTGTTGAGACTGTTGCTGCTGTTGTGACTGCTGCTGGCCTGGGTGTTGGTGTCCGCTGGCAGGCTGGTGGCTACTTCCGGGGCTTCCGGAGTGGCTCAGCGGCCCGCCAGCGTGGCCGTTGAGGTGAGCCGCAGACACGCCGTTGACACCCACGCCGTTGATGGCGGGCAGGTGGTGGGGCGGGTACGAAGTGTCGATGAGGGCGTTATGGTACGCGGCCATGTTGATCAGCATTGTGCCGTTGAGTGACCAATATTAAAAGGAGGTACGAATTTTCAAAGAGGAATCAGCGAGAGCTTAAACTGATAAATCTTTTCTTAATCAATTTTATATCCAACACAAGTATACTGGCACACAACTTAAGGGAAGGGGGTGACACTGGACACTTGGCGACGCTATCTCGTACAACAGACTCAGTTGCCCTGGACTAACTCTCAATTTAACAATATTGAACACAATCGTGATGTTAGCAGGGACTCTGAGACAGGAAGCTCTCGTGATATCTGAACTTGGGATCCTTTTCCACTCACGTTCACTAAAGGGGAGGGGGAACAAATGGGGAGGGTCACGTTCTTGGAGTGAAACACAAGTCGGTCAGCTGAGAAGCCAGAGCTGCCAGGAGTTCTTGCTGATCCCGCGAGTGAGCAGCACCAGCCACACGGCAGTCACTGAGCGGTCACCACACTTGCCGGTCTGTCGAGGAAGACGCTGGAACGGCTGATGGATCCGTCGCAACGGGTTTTCTGGAACGCCGGACAACCTTGCAGTTGGGCCAGAGCGAGGGGCAGCCTCAGCTCACGGTATCCAAGACCAGCGGACTATCTACGAAAACAAACCTCGATATACATCAATTAGGAACGTTTGCGAAAGAACACCTTTTGATATTCAAGTTGAGTAATCTAGACTATGATGTCTTGAACTTTACCTTTCCTAGAGAAATCTTCAACAAGTTGAAAACAATGATTGTGCGTACAAAATCACAACACAGACTGGTGTAGTAGCATAGCCAAACCACGCATAGACGATACACGCACACAGGTTAAACACACACGTCGAGTACACAGCGGGAGGAAGAGAGAGGGAGAGAGAGAGAGAGTGTGCGTGTGTGTGTGTGTGAGATGGTGTGGAACGCGCGGGGCACTGCTAGGCTGTGCACTGTCTGGAGTCACAGCGTTCACTGAGCTGTCTGGCCCCAGCGCGCCCCCACCCCTCCACCAGCCACCACCGCCCCTCCTCACACCCCACACCACAACCCAAATTTCATCCTCCCCCTGACCGGGTTCCTCTCTTCTTCGCATTCCCTGTCCACGTCTTCGAATGTCTATCACAAACATGCAGACTGACGTTTTCTGTCCCTCGGGTCCTACATTAGCTTTTAGCTCAACATTCCTGCTCTTTCCTTCATCTTCTTTCCTATCGACCCACCACAGCCCAAATTTCACCCTTCCCCTGAGTGGTCCACCGTCTTTGTACTCTTCCAGCGTTTCCTCTTTTCCTTCTAGTCTTCGACTGTTTACTTTGTTATCATTATTCCTCCGTGGGTGCTCTCGACATATACCGTCGCGATTTATAGTTTTATTCTTTGTGTAAAATCCTACCAGTCAGTCACAATACCATACTGTTTGTTATTACTTAAGCGTTTATATATATCTTATCATCATTTTTCATTCACCATCCTTTCGTAGTGAAGTTTGATGTGTGTGTGTGTGTGTGTGTGTGTGTGTGTGTGTGTGTGTGTGTGTGTGTGTGTGTGTGTACCTTCTTCCAATACTTGCCTCTCCATCGATCCTCCACGGGCGCTCAGACCCCCGCCCCCTCCCTTCACTCTTACCTACTACATTCCATTCACACACATTATATTTCTCTCATTTTTATTTTTTCTATTTTTTTGCATGGCTTTTAGTTTCTCGTCAATTCATTCCCTGTATTTTCCCTCCCCCCTCCTTCCTCTCCTCTCCCCCCTTCTTCTTCTCCTGCTCCCCCTTCCTGCTGTCGCCCAACGCTTCCCTAACTTTAAACCCCCTTTTTTAAATTTCTTCTTCCAGTATCCCAACACTCACACCCTCCTACTCCACTGAACCCCAACCCCCCCTCACCCTCACTCCAAAAATATCCTCCCCACTTGCCACCATTATTTTCTTATGTTTATTTTTCTTCACACTCTTACCTCTTATCTTCCCTTCTCGTTCTCCTTTTTGCTCGACCCACGAAGACTGACTCTAGAGTAAAGAAGTACTTACTCATGTCAAACGTAATTTTCTCTCATATCAGGAAGGACATGACGAAACTCGACCACCACTTCATGATATCTTTCGCCTCCATTGTCCAGTCCTAACTAAATGCTTTTGTTACCCGGAACTCCCCTTCACACACACTACGAACCATCACCACCTCCCAAACAACCAACTCCACCTCCCCCATCATCCATGACCACCCCTTCAACACTGCAAACCATCGTCACCTCCCCATCACCCATACCCCTACACCACCACCAACCATCACCCACACCCCCAACACCACTATCAACCATCACCCACACCCCCAAACCACCATCAACCATCACCCACACCCCCACACCACCATCAACCATCGCCCACACCCCCACGTCACCATCAACCACACAACCACACCACCATCAACCACGCCCACACCCCCACGCCACATTCAACCACACACCCCCACACCACCATCCATCACCCACACCCACACGCCACCATCACCCACACTTCACACCACCATCACCCACATCCCTACACCACCATCAACCATCACCCACACCCCACACCACCATCAACCATCGCCCACACCCCACGCCACCATCAACCATCGCCCACACCCCCACGCCACCATCACCCACACCCCACACCACCATCAACCATCACCCACACCCCCACACCACCATCAACCATCGCCCACACCCCACGCCACCATCACCCACACCCCCACACCACCATCAACCATCAACCACACCCCACACCACCATCAACCATCGCCCACACCCCCCCCACGCCACCATCACCCCACACCCCACACCACCATCAACCATCACTCACACCCCACGCCACCATCAACCACACCCCCACACCACCATCAACCATCACCATCCCCACACCCCCACCCCACACCACCATCAATCATCACCCACACCCCACGCCACCATCACCCACACACCACCATCAACCTACATGAGCTCATAATCACAACACACTTAACCCACATCAACACCAGGATCGAGGAGGCTTGTTTGAAGACATTATCCACGTCTCAACAGTATTGACTAAAATACTTAAATACAGAACATCACAAGCATCCCAACTACAGCGTGTCTAGTGAAAAGAACACTATTCCTTCTCGTCATTTTTCGTCCCGTTTTGGTGATTTTGACACTTCCACCCACGACAAAAGTAAATACTACGGTAATGGATGCCGTGTGTGCTTGTTTATCCGCCAGTTATCCACCACTCTTGTCATTTAGGAAAAAATATGTTTATGATATAATTTCAATTAAATCTGGTGGGATTGATGATGGGCTGGGACGCTCTGTAGGGATGAGACGCTCTATACTCGTTAGGTGATGGGGCAGGTCCACCCGTATTCGTTGAAGCTGATGCCAATTAAAGACAGTAATACATCTCAGCATGGTAATAACGACCTCTATAATCTAACATTTTACCCAGGGATCAGGAATATCATTAACTGAATATTCCGTAGCGTTCTCTCAAGAAACTCTTACACACCGTTTTATTCGGTACATATTAATAACAATGACTAAATATATGTGGAGATGTTTACTTAAATACATAACGCCACAGCAGAATACATCTGGTACAGTTAACAGTGACTGGCAGTGACTGATGGAGGAGTCTGTTACACTTGATGCCAGTCCCCCTGCCTGCACCAAGCCAGGAAAAGGTTTTAATAATGAAAAATAAAATAACACCTCGTAATATTCTTTCTCGTAAGCAGTGTGAGTGACTATTGCAGATGTCATGATACTGAAACAAAATTATTGACATCCCTTACCTTAAAGCAAGTTAATCTTTCTATACTGTACTCATTAATTTCTCAAGAGCGCGTGGATACTGCATGATGAGACACATTCACAAATCTTGATAATACTTTTACTAGATCTATATTCATTGATCATAATAAACTGTGAAGTCACCAGGGCCGGATTCAGGAGTGGGCAAAGTGGGCAGCTGTCCAGGGGCCTCCACATATTACAATATTTTATTTATTTGTTTATTCATTTGGATTATTTTTATTTTCATTCTTTAAAATTCATGTTTAGCTAAAGGTAATGTTTATTTTCTATATTGCAATTGATCAATGTTTGTGTTCAATATATCCATTATCCATGGTCGATGGCAGTTATTTTTATTTGTTTTTTCCAACATGTTCATACTTTTGTTATAATTTTATCAAATTCATTAAATTGTTTATTTGTTTTACTATTGGATGCAAAACTTCAATTTTATTTATAGTTGAGTTAATACTTATTCTGAATCTATCTGACCTTGGACTTAAAGAAGCCTATACATGCATTAGTGGACAGAACCATTATTTGAGTAGAGGTTTATCTGATTATTAATGCAAAGAATCACCTCTCTGTAATAAATAATAATATATTCTTTTCTGTGAAGTCTCTTGAAATTTTTTGACATGTGCGGTAGTAGCTATATCAGGGCTGGTCGACTTGAAACCACATGAATGACTCCAGTCATGTCTCACTTTTGTGTGTGTGTGTGTGTGTTGGGAATTTGTACACTATCAATAAATATACAGTTAATTAAAAATTTCTCAATGTTCTAATTTCCTCAGTATAACAGCATATGGCTTCAAAATTTTCGAAAGAAGTGTTCAAATTTCAAAATTTTCCAGGGGGGGCTTACAGCGCCCCCCGGAACTCCCAGATGTTTAGGCTCGCTTCACTCGCCACCCCACCCTCTTGGGTAGTTATAATGAGGGGGGCCTCCACAAAGAGGCTGCCCATGGGCCTCCACAGGTCTAAATCCGGCACTGGAAGTCACTAAATGGAATATCACCAACGATACATCACGTAAGACGTTTTGTCTGCGAGTGCCTGTTCTATACTAGAAGCTTTTTATTTGATGCCGCTGACAAGTCTGAGGGGAATGTACTGTACAGATATACATGAAAAATAGGAAGATATCAGTATGCCCCATCTCACTGCATAGCTCAGTGTGGGCATTACAAGAAATATTATAATATCAGTTGGTGGATTTGAAGCAACATGAAATACGCAAATAGAACAATCATACAAAAAATTTACAATATAAAGGATTGTATTTGTTTTAAAATTTGAACGGCATGTCTGAAAAATGAAGTAAGCATATCCACACGCTGCAAGAGTTCCTACCACAACGTTCACACTCATCAGATGTTTTCGCTGCCTGTACTAACCTTTGCATCTGCGTTGAGGAAGTAAAGTCCTATGGAAGCCTCATCTTCTAGTGTCCCTGAGAAACAAGACAACATATATTAGTACTGAAGAGAGCAAACTGTTGATGAAGAGGGAATTTTAACTCGATTAAAGACAATATTCTTAAGAAAAGGACTACCCCCCCCCCCCACACAACTTTACATGTTTTAAGATTTGTCCTAGATACTGAACACAGAAGTTTCAAGTGATGGATCTCCTCTAGTCCCTTGGGGGGGGGGGGAGAACCTAATAAATAGGAGGAAAATTATAAAATAAAATGAACCAATAAAAAACATTGAAGGAAATATTGGAAAAGATCTTGGAGAGTGTAACTTCAGATTTTCCCTCACAGCCTCTTGAGTTATCTGCTAAAATGTGGTAAAAATTTGGGTTAAAGTGACTTAGGGATAAGTCCACTGGCTATAAATCTGCAGCGGAAGGAAAGGTTTAAAAGCAGAATGAAACTGGCCCACGAGGAGGCATAGATCAATCCCAGAGCACAACTTTTAATGATATGTCAAGAGGTGTGTAAGAAACGAGTACCGGAACACACACACACATACACACACACAGATGGTGATAAGTCTCTCACAAGCGTAATCTAGCGAGTTGGGGGAAGTTTAAGGTATGAGCAATGACTTGATCCTCTAACAAAATCTTATGATAAGAGAGCAGCATCAATAACTTCACCTCTCTATTGATGTGCAGTGTTCCGGGAGCT